ATTCTATGCTATGGTTCAGAAGTCTGGGGATTATCTTATTGTAAAACTATCGAATCAGTTCATCTTGCTTTTTGCAAATATGTCCTAAAGTCAACAAATCTACTTCATCAATGTGGTAGGTATCCACTACAGCGTGTGTATACAACAAAGGTTATTAAGTACTGGTGTCATTGCAGTTACCCAAAGATAGATTACCATACCAGTCTTACATGATGGTTAAGGCAGTTGATGAGTGTGGGAGAATTACATGGTCTAGTAAGTTTAAACATATACTATTTCAATTTGGTTTGGGTTATGCTTGGCTTATGTTGGAGATTCGAAGGTTTTCATATCTATGTTCAAACAGAGGTTATGAGAGCATTTACAGCAGTCATGGTACTCCTCCGTGAAATCTTCGCCTAAGTGTTATCTCTACAAAGCCAATAAATCCTTGTTGAATGTTGAAAAGTACTTATGTTGTTATTTACTTTTACATGTAAGAACTGCTATCTCCAGATTTAGATGTTCAAATTTTAAAATTGACACAGAAAATTGAAACAGAAACAGGAAGATACTCTAACAGTGATAGACATCTAAGGCTGTGTAGCCACTGTAAAAAACATATAACCATATGTCTGTTGTTAATATTTTAAAAGATTCAAACACAAGTACTCTATATAATGTTGGAAATTTCCTCTATCATGCAGAGAAGAGGATCAACATAAAATACTCTAAGTAACTTTAAATTCAATGATGTTTGTATTTTGGGCCTGAGGCCCCTATACTAAGTCTGTGTGTTTGTCTGTCTGTCTGTCTGTCTGTCTGTCTGTCTGTCTGTGTGTCTGTCTTTGTGTCTGTCTGTGTCTGTGTGTGTGTGTCTGTCTGTGTGCCTGTATGTCTGTCCGTCTGTTAATCGTGTTTAGATTACTGTCTAGTGTAATTGTCACCAGTGACTGTTTAAAACTCTTGTAATCGTTACACAAACAGTTGTATGGTTGACTATAATCATAACATAAACACTTAACCACTACTGTTAATCGTGTTTAGATTACTGAGTAGTGTAATTGTCACCAGTGACTGCTTAAACTTCTTGTAATTTGTTGTATGGTTGACTATGAACACTTAACCACTCTGATATGTTTAAATAAACAACACTGAGACACTCTGATATCTTTTGGATGTGTAGGAGTACAACTACTGCAATAGCATGTAATGAACTTCTTCTAATCATACCATTTTTTAAAACTTTGGCCCTTTTTCACTTAAGTCTACGGCCTTTTTTTACTTTTCTTTGTCCCTTTTGACATTTTCAATATTGGCCCTTTGTCCTTTGGGCCTTTTGACCTGTTCCCACTTCAACATCAGATGATACTATTGGGTTCAGTAACATTCGAATAAAATGTGGGCCCACGTCCGACACCCTCTAACAACCAGCTAGTAAGTGATCCACAATTCAGTAATATTGATAAACATGTTTAACAATTGTAAAGCGAAATGCTGCTGTTCATTAGGGATGGAAATGACTCGTTAAATTGTATAGTTTTTAATGATAATTCGAGTAAATATGGTGGCTGATTAGGGCCATCGCTTTCTCGCCTTAGAATTCGGAGGCGAGAAAGCGATTCACGTGATTCCGGGGCATTTAGCCCTCGCACATTAGTATTCTTTCCAGACTGACGTTGAAACTGCATTATCATAATATGACAGATAGCAATGATCGATCAGTGGTTCGAGTTTCAAATGGACCTAACTCTAGATACAGACTGGTAGTATGCAAATTAGTTTCGTATCCGAAAACGCATGACGATGAGAAAGCGATAAACTGTGTCCTTCTTTACTTATGGTGGCTGATTAGGGCCATCCCTTTCTCGTCTTAAAATTCGGAGCCGAGAAAGCGATATCATGACACGAGAAAGCGATAACACGATATGAGAAAGCGATAACGAGAGACGAGAAAGCGATAACGCGAGACGAGAAAGCGATAACGAGAGACGAGAAAGCGATAACGCGAGACGAGAAAGCGATAGCACGAGATGAGAAAGCGATAGCACTAGACGGTAAAGCAATATCATTGTGCGAGAAAGGGAATTGATGACATGACTAGATTCGAATTGTCTTAACCAACTAAATCACACCATGCAATTGAGTTATTACTTTGATGGGCATTTTAGAAGTTGAGTTAATGATGAATAATGAAAATGATTATGGATATACAACTTCTTTTATTCTGTGGAGGCGACATAGACTATAATGTCGTTGTCAAGCAAGTGATACCGAAACTAACAAATTGAGAGAATATATGCATGAGTTGTCATTACAGTAGATAGGGAATGAGTTGTTTATACAATAAATGAGATTGATGTACAACGCTTGCATGAGAGATTGAGTAAGTTGATACGAAGCCAGAAGGGTGATATACAAGGACTGAATTAAAACTTAAACGACTGATAGGAAGCCTGGTGGATGTATATACAATTGATGGGGTTGATGTACATAGTTGAATTGAAACTGTTTCCAAAAGTTTACGAATTTTGTAGTCTGACTGGTTCTTTTCTATGGTTTTCTTTTTAATTATGATATTGTGTGACAAATGTGTCGGAAGTGCCAGATGAAAGGGAGGGACATATGACAAATAAGGCATTGTGACGAGTATCTTAGTATCTTTGAGTAATCAAAGCTGAAAATAGTACGCAGTTAAACGCTGGTCTAACCATATATAGTGAACTTCGCTGAGTGGCATTTAGAAGTTGGTGTGCTGAACAACGGGGAAAGTTATATGGATATACAACTTCTTTATTATAATGTAAGTGACGTTTTGGTCCGCCAATTTCAATCCCGTTCTGACATCAAAATATCTATCAGAACCAATCTTTTCCCCAAAGTTTTCTCCTAACAAAGTTAGATAATAGACATGTTATACCAACAACTGATTTTCTACAATATATTCATACATCCCGACGCCATTTTGACTGTAGCTAATAATTGATGTCTGTGATATGTACTCTGATACCACCATTGGTGGTCTATTGAGAATAAAAGTAAAGTAAAGGCTACAGCCGGACGTGGTCGCATAGGTTTTGATAAGCTGATTGGTGACACGTGTATCCAATTGACCTTTCGTAACATTTTCGTTTCCAGGGTAGGAGTTGAAACTCGTTCAATCTATGGATTCATCTACCTGTATTATCTTGTTTATAATTTGGTCAACTCATGTCAAAACGATTCAAATCGAATGAGAGCAATAGGTGACATTCTCTGGGATGCAGACAAATAGACCCTCATACACATCTACAAAACATGTATCATGTTCACACTTTGTCGCTCCCGTCCTTGTCTATCCCCTACCAATTATGATAAACTAGACTCCTTACAATATAATAATATAAAAAACACACCAAAAAACCCTTCCAAGGCGCAAAGACTAGTACCTACTCCCTAGTAGTTACTAGACGAAACCAAATTACTCTAAACTACCAGGTGAACAAAAAGGCACCCTCAAATTCAGAATAAACCCTTTAAAACATCCCTATTCAGCCACAAATTACAGTGTATGCTCGATTATCCAGACTAACTCACAATGTCAAGGTCACACACCGCACGTTTCACAAACAAAACATAAACACCGTTCCCTGCCTCCCCAGCCCTACTTTTTAGCATTTAACCCCTTTTCATCTATTTAGTAGACTCCTTACTAGCTTATCAGCAACAGTTTAACTGTTCTGCACAATAAGTCACAAAATACTTTACACTACTTACTTAGTTGAACTTATACACAATCAACTTCCCAGCCCTCTTACGTCCAAACTTACTCCCCATCTAAACTAAATTTGTACAGGTGTTTTATGATATAGTGCTTTATTCCCCAAGTAATCATTTTATTACGTTTTTGTTAAAAACACCTTCCACGTCGGTCGATGAATTGTGGCACTGTCACAAGTCGATAGTTGGGATATGGGGGCAGACAGACATATACGTATGTACACAAACCATTCTTGTAGAAGTATCGGAGACTATGGCACATACATTTAGAACAATACCTTCTTCACATAGAAGTAGAAATATATATGTTTGAAATATTCACATATATAAAGACCAGACGAAGGCACAGGGTGTATACAATTCTATCACTGATACAATAAAGCCCGACGTCGAGAGAGAATACAATATAGGATTTTGGCAACGTTAAATCACATGGGGAGTTGGTTTGGTTTATTGTTTAACACCGCACTCGGCACTGTACCGGCTATATGACGGTGGTCTGTAAATAATCGAGTGTGGACCAGACAAGCCAGTGATCAACACCATGACCATCGATCTACGCAGTTAGGTTACGATGACATGTGTCAACAAAGTCAACGAGCCTAACCACCCGATCCCGTTAGTCATCTTTTACGACAAGCACGAGTTGCTGAAGACCAATCTAACCCGGATCTTCACGGGTAACATGGGGAGTAGGCAAATATGTAGCTTTAGCCAAAGAAAAAACATTACTCTTAAAATACCTAAAGGAATTTATGGGTGTCAATTTCTGTATTTGTGGAACACGATGTTACGGAGTATATTCTTATTCCTTCATCAGGTGAATGAAGAAACTAGGAAACAGAAAGCTACATACGTACATTTGAAACAACAGTGACAAGATAACAAGGGAAGCAAGTTGTTAATTATTGCTAAATTGGTAGGGTGGATGGACAAAATGGAAGCCAGGGATTGTTAATCCCGGCATGACTGATGAGATAACGATGGTGACATTTAACAAGGGAAATGACAGTAAAGAAATGTAAGCCTGGAATATATCCAAGCCTAATTAGTCTAAAGTGATGTAACAATAATGATTGTTATCCTTTTTACAGACTTTTTAAAAACACTCATGTATTTCATCATGCTTACAATCCTGGTTGCCGTTGTACAAAACAACCTTAGCCCTAAGGCTACCTTAAGTCTATGTTAGGGTATGGGAGTTACGGTCACCTTAGCGCTAAGATCGTTTTGTACAACGGCACCCAGATTGTAAATCCACTTCACAACTTGTCCACGATGATACCCATGATGGTGGTGTTGACAACGACGCTGATGTATGAGTGAGCGGGTTTTCCTTAATAAAACATGATATCAAATTAAATTGCTCAATACGATCATAACGCCAAATAAATATCGTGTCCTGACTATCTTCAGAAAGACATTCAGTTTAGTGTAAAGGGAAAATAGCTCCGAAAGTTGTATGAACGGACCTCTGAAAATCAGTGATGACACCAGGTGTTCACAAAGAAGTGTAAGCATGTCCTGCCCTACCGGTAGCAGCCGTCATTCATAAGATATGCCTAAACTGGATCTATGTTTGCTTGACATCAATACTATAGCCGTGACACGGAAGCCTGTAAACCAAACAAGCAAGTGAATGATGGACAGGAATATTCTGTTGGACAACCTCGAATAACGACTGCTGAACAGAAGCACAGAGATTATCAACAAGACCTCCGATACTATATTACTGAGATGACACTGTAAACTGTCAACATGTTATATCACATAAATATACGTCACTGGTGATGCTTTTGAACTAGTGTACCTACCTTGTACATACAACATGTGCTGACAATTGGGAATGGGGCCATCACTCCATGTGGAACAGTGGTATCTTCCCGCATCCTCTGATGTTGCATTGTGAAGCGAGAACTGGAGGATGACTGCATCAACTGACCTTGTTATCTTCGTTATATTGACTCTCGTTCGGTAGGAATTCCAGATGTAGACCTTATCAGAGTGTACCCGAGGAGTGTCTACTTCAAAGAGTCTTTTATTTCCAGGGCCCATCACTTTGAAATACTTATTCCACGGCATCTTCAAAGTAATCAAACAACTGTGTCCTTCACGAACTACTGTGTAGTTTTCATAAGACCCAGCTGAAATAACACAAGTATAACATATTATCTACATTGCCTTGCTCCCGTGAAAACTGGAGATGTCTGTATGTTGTGCATCGGTACAATGTTACACATTCGACATACTTTTCAAATATCAATGAATACCAAACTTTTCAGGGCAACTCAACATTTTCCTCTTTGTGGTGACAGTACAGGAGAGAACAATTCAGGTCACTTCCTTGTGAATGGGCGGTTTTATCATAACTATTTAATTGCCATATCCATGTTATAACTTATACGCCAAATACATGTTTTAATACTTCGTACGTCCGAATTTCAAAATCATTCACTTACATTGTTTAACCAGTACATACACTTCACTCCATCCTGACACTGCTCTCGGTCCTATCACAACCTGACACTGGAAGTTATCTCCCTTCACTGTGTTCACGTCACTGACAGTGAGGGTACTTCTGTAGATGCGGCCTGGTACCTTGAGCCACCGGGCCCAGTAATGACTCTGTGTTATGCTGTATTCAGAGCTTTCGTCTAGCGGCAAACTGTTCCTCGTCCAATTAATGGACGCGTTTACATCATCACCACGATACTTGTAGGCACTGTAGCAGGACAACGTCACACTCCTGTCCACGTGAGCTGTGTCTGGTGCAGCGATGTACGGCTGTTGGAAATCTGTAATAACAAATTGTGAGTTCAGCTATGACATAATAGGTGTCGTGGACAAACACATCATGGTTGTCCATTACACATGCACAATTCTATTGTTAAATAAGAGCTTGACACTTCTGATCTTGCCTTGCATTATTCTTTAGTATTTAGATATTGTCAGTCGAAGGTGGGTATTAATCAACATCCTACATTGCACTTCTTTGAGAGGCATTTAAGAAGACCAGCAACTCATCCCCAACTTTTGGACAACATCCACATCCTAGAAACTAACCGATCAGACTACAAGATTAGGAAACTTCTCGAAAACATAAAAATCCAACCCTTCCAGCCCACCATGATCAAGGTTATTTTATCTCCTCAGCCTATCACCACCTAATTAAAGATCACCAGTAATCCGCCCATACCTCGTCCAATTGGTTTCTATGCTCCCTTTTGTGTATTGTAAAAACAACCAATCAATGTGTACATCCACCTACCCTCCTCAACTCACCATTACCATCTCAGTGTACATCAACTCATCTACTGTATAAACTCATTCTGCATATTGTTTTAATCACTATCACTCTGGACATCAACCTACTCTGCTCAAATCACTAATTAGTAATCCAATGGATATCAACCTTGTCAATTGCAGTTATGCAGACATGTATATATTCTCCATGTTACAACTTGCTTGATAACGGTGTTAGTACCTACACCAAATCGTCGCACGCATTGCAATAAAGAAGTTGAATATCCATAGAACTTGGTTCTCCTTCCTACATTGCACTTATTGTGTATCATATGTAACAGGGTGAAATAAAAGCTTACATTAACTTCATGTGTTGCGTTATTTTTTATCAAAATGTATATACATCTGTGATGTTTTGGGTTCAATAGAGGTTCATTGTGTTCACAATGAGCAGTTGTCGCCAAATAGTGTTTTAAGTGCTTAATGCAGGTCTCTGATTGCTTTGGATCATTCCATTACAAGGTCATAGGGTAATTAAGTTACTCCTCTCTGTCAGGTATGTGATTTGTAATGATCACCTGGTTGATTGGGATTGACTTATTTTAAATCATAGGTCATCAGCCATTTTCACTCACACAGCACTTGTCACCCTCACCTGATGTGCTCAGCACTTGTCACATACTTGATGTGCACAGCAAATCAACATACTAAATAAGCTACTTCCAAGGTTAGTAATTATAGAACACTATTGCTATATGCTTTTATTAATGAATAAATGACATAAATAAGTATCATTAGTAAGCATTTTCAGTACAGTATTTGATAGTGTAATTAATACTCTTATGCAATAATGTGTGTATGAGTGATGATTTTATATATAACTTTGTATTATCAGTGTGATTGGATTATGCATATTATATATAAATCACACAATAAAGTAAACCTTTCCTTGTAGATATGTGTATTGTACAAGTTAATTGTTGTGTCTGAACTATTCTCAATCACGTGACATATATATATATTTTCATGTGTTATATTTGCTTGGCTCAGGTATCACAGTCCTGTAGTATGAGGAGGGTTGACCGCCGGTAACAACACTAACGTGTCACTCACAGGGTACGCAGGTTATAATCTATTTCGTTCTTTATGCATAAGTGATGTGTTTGCTTATTGTTGCATATATTGTATTATTGTCATGTGTCATGTACTTCTAATGGTATGAGCACATGATGTATGCATTATTACAGATAGTAATGTACCTGTAAACATATGCTTATTGATGTTATGTAATATAGTGTGATGTAATATGTACGCTTGTATTTTAAATCACAGAAAACTTATGATAACAAAGTACAGGATGATTCAACTGATATTGAATCCTCAGGGTGACATCACACCCGAAGATTCTCACCGACTAGAGGGTAAATCCCAGGTTGCAACATTTGGATTTACGACAATAACATCCATGTCATTTGTGAATATAAAATGATATTCCAGTTTGGGGTTATATTATGTAAGAGACAAGACTGATGTATTTGACTTTCCACAAGAAACCGATCTTTGAATTTATGATGTACATAGGAAAACTTGACTTTCCACAGAAACCGATTTTGTTTCGAGTGAAGGTCGGTGAAAACACCAGGTCTTTTTACAAAATGGGTAAGTGTGTACAACCGATGACACCCGGTGTTAACTAAAAAGGTAAACATGTACCGATACTAATGAACTAAACAGATTCAGGTTGACTGTTTTAGTTTCCAGAATCCTTGCAGAATTAATGACTCATCTTTACGTCCTTGCATTGGCTCCAAGTTTCAAGTTTTTAGCATGTATGGAAGAATAAAGTAAACAAGATCCTGTACACATCGACCTTTCCGTTCATCTTAGGATTGTAGTTATATTTGTTGATACAAACATAACTTCAGCTACATGAATCTTAACAAAACAATCCATTCAGACTACATAGTCCCAAGTACCGACGTCATCCGTCCCAAGCATCATTTGGGGTTACGTCCCTTGGTTTTGCAAACGCGACAAAATGTACCACAAGTAAAAATGGAACTAAAATGAAACTCTGACTTGGGTGATAGAAGAAATTGTTTAATATGAACGTGATGTGAACTGTTGGTGAGTGTTTGGATGTTAAGGGGACTAGATGAGCCTGCAAAGAAGGGAATTACCTCTTGAGGCGATGCAGTTTCATTTCACGATGGCACACACGGCAGTTTCTAGCTGTGTGATATATTTTGGTAAATAGAGCAATCTATGTAACGACAACGAGTGAGTGAGTGAATTTAGTTTTATGGCGCTTTTAGCACTACTCTAGCAATATCGCAGCGTGCGACACCGGAAATGGGCTTCACACGTGTCCTCAGGGTCACAAGCAAACGCTATAACCACAATGTTACATAACCGCCCGTATGTAACTACACATGTAATGGTTCGTGTTGGTGATTCGTCACATTATTTTTCTCAAATGCCATATGATGGAACCGTCGAAAAGGGAAGATAAGTTTTATCATGTTTGGAAATTAAGGAATTCCCCATAGTTCAGTAACTCTTCACTCGTTTGACAATGTAATTATGAGGGATACCGACGTTCTTTGGGACTTGAACGACACCTGGTTTGGTAGTGTTTGTCAAGGCGAGATCCTCCACAACAGTCAATATAACTCCATAAATACAATGATGCAAGTGTATATCAATACCTAAGTAAGGAAAAATAACCCACAACCCCAACAAACCCACCCACCCCCAAGATTGCTCACTGACTCCTGTACACAGTACCAACTGGAAATAATGCAAAACATACGAAATCAGTGGCATCGTTCAAGCCGTACCCACTCTATTATGCGAAACCCCATTATCCGTGGTTCAAGGGAAGTTACTCTCTCTCACTACATGGGACATGCGAATGTGGGCCCACATTCGAAACTAAACAACATTTGAAACGTTGTCGACAAGATATGACAGATATCTGACGAAATCAATACTCATAAATACAATCTAAGTTTCACTTGTTGATACAAAATGCATGAAATAGTTACTACACAGTAAAACAATAGCAAACGACACCAGTACTTGTGCCGCGAAACTTGGTCATGAAGTCATTAATATTCGTGTGTGTAATCCTTTCGTGGAACGGTTCACGTCATTGGTTGACAGTTTGACATTTGATGTCATCGATAGGCGTCATATGCTAATCACCGAATTTCTACTTGGAGCTTTCTACGGCAATATTATCGTGTCGTAATCATAATGGGACGTGGAAGGGTTTCGAGAATATTGCGTTAACTGAACGTGTATATATGGGTGAAGAGTCTTGTCAGCTTCGGCGTGAAATATGTTAAACTTCCCATCAATACAATTACACTCAATTATAATGATAATCTTATCACGACAGACGGTTGACTCTTTGTTGCTTTCAAATTAAAACAGAATTTCGATTAAACTGCATTTTTATCAATGACGATAAGTGAATGATTTCACCGAAAAAACTGAAACACATGAGACGATATATATATAATTGCTACTGCTGTCACTCAGCAAGTGACAGCTGCTCTGGGCATTGCACATGTTTGGGTAAAATAAAATGCAACGTCTTTTTGTTTTGAATGAATACAATCTTTACGCATGTCTTCGTTTTTTATCACTTACAATGTTTTTCAAATGTAATTTTTAAAAGATAAGACGAGTATATTTAACCAGTCTAATTCTAAAAGGTGGGCCCACTCGAAATAAATTTTAAAAAGTGGGCCCACATTTCTGATTACTTTGATGCCTACAGTTTTGTTTGTGAGGTCGTTTTTCGTTCTGTTGCTTAACTACAGTAAACACATTTTTAGATGCTAATATTTTTAATTTTACATATTTTTTTCAAAATATGGGCCCATTTACAAAA